TGTCACAGTTTTACAGTAAGGCCATTCAGCACTCAGCACCAAGAAGATAACACGGTACGCTTATTTAGTAGTCTAATTGCTCTTCTGTTTTGTTCCGTCATTAAACGGTGTTAGAATTGAGAATTAGGACTCTCTTTCCTCGCCAGAAGAAAACACAAGTGGCTTGTTGACTACAAGATTTACTCTCCCAGATACTTCCAGAGTAATATAAAATCCTGGCCGAGCGTCCACAGCAAGGAGCTGGTAGCATGTGCCCCGGCCTCCTCTCCTGAATGCAGGCTTCATGCCCAGAAGGACATCATAAATCATTTAAAATTTATGATGAGCCCGGTCGTGTGCTACATCCTGTTAGTTGGCTGCCGTCTGTCCTCCTCACACTACAGCCTTCCTTCTTCAGAGCACACAGAGACTTTTTCAGATGAGCCATAGGACAGACAGCTCAGGATTTTCCCTTTGGTGGGCCCAGCCAAGTAGCAGAGGGGCAGAAAACAGAAGACTCCTGTTCATAAAGTTTTGCCACAAGCCTCGTTTGCTTTCTCGTAGACTGGAGGGGGGGGGAAGGGGCAGAAAACGAAACTGTTAGCATTATTAGCCTATTTTCTTTTATTCATTTATGCAACAAATGCACATGTTTTCTGAGTTCCAACAACCTGCGAGGCACTGTTGGAGAAACAGCAGTAAACAAAACAAGAGCTTTGGTTCTCATCGAAACTCCATTTAAGGAGTGGGTCCCATTTCAGGAGGGGGTGACATACTGTGCAGGATAAGGTAGATAGAGGCGAGAAGACGAACAAGCTATTCCACGGCTGTGCGATGGAGGGATTTCTGATAAGGTGACATTTGAGCAAAGACTCGAAGGAAGTGGTGGAATGAGCCGTGTGGGGGTCTGGGGAAATCCCATCCTGTAAGGACAGAGGCCACCGTGCAGGAGCTTGCTGCTTGCATCAGGTGACAAGAAGCAGGGCTGGAGGGGCTGGAGCAGAGAGAGCCAGGAGGGAGAGGTGAGGAAAGCATCCCCTGGGGGGCATGGTGGAGACCATGCCAAGGAGTAGAGAGAGAATTCAAAGTGAGATGGATGGACAGCCATTGGATGTTTTTGGAAGATCAGTCCTCTTCAAATACTTGTAGCACCAGAGTATAAGCGTGAAGGCAGGAAAATGGGGCACAGTGCATCCCTCACTTAGCAAAGTGTGTGCTGTTGTAACCAGAATTGAACTGTCAGAACTTGAATTCACCCAATCCAGAGAGCAAAACAGAAGCCGTGGGTTTGCTTTGATCTTCATAAAAAAAACCACACACGCTTTTTTAATTGGGATAAAAGTAAGTAACCATGAGCTGTTTACTCAACTGGTAACCATACTTTTCATGGAGAGACCTAGCTACTGCATCCAATGATCTGACCTCCCTGCTAAATCTCTTCCCCAGCAGTATTTGTGAGGCCCCCAACATTATTGCTATCGTTGCACAGATCAGTGTGAACTTCAGAGTCAAAGAACAGCTGGTTGGATACTATACTAGGCATCAGGTTCTAGGGGGCTTCAACAACCCACTTTGCTCTCAGTGAACACAAAGGTAACTCAGACTATTTTCCCGTCACGGATGGCTTACTTTAGAGCTATGGGGAGCACGGGTTTGATGAACGTGTAAAATTACAGGGAGTGGGATTCTGACTCCTTATGAGGAATATCTTCCTAAGAACGAGGGTGACAGATGCCTGAAGAGGGCCATCCTGCCTCTGAATGTTTTCAGCAGGTGAGCACATCTCAAGAATGTTCCTGAAATGGCTCCTGCTTTGGGCGGCAGGTTGGACGGGAGTGACCTCTCAGACTCATTCCGATGCAGAACGCTTCCAAGCCTATGAAAAAGTGTCCAGTGAATGTGCTTTGCAAACATACAGACACTATATAAACATGAGGCAAATATTTTAAAAGATGAAGAGTGTGATACTTGTTCTTCTGGGAGAGCAGTGGTTGGAACTTTGTGCCCCAGCAACATACTTTCCATGCTCAGTCGCCTGCAGTGTGTTCTCATTGGCCCCGTACACAGTTATCTGCACTACGTGTTAAAAATCCGCTCAGCCAAAGACCAAACAAATTGCCAAGACGTTTTCCTATCAGGGCCCGTTTATAAGAGGTAAAGCAAAGAACAAAGCTGTCGGTTTCAGTTCCTGGCAGGAAGCCAAGCTGCTTCAAAGCTCCAGAATTTGCAAGGAAGAAAGATGAGGGATTTTTAACTGAGATTAAATTAGAACTAAAGCAACAGAAAGCTTAAAACTTAAAACTGAAGCATCCTCAGGGATTCATAATGGAAAGGCAGAAACAAAAGATAGGTTTGGGCTCTCAGACGATCTTTCAGTACAAGAGTGAAAGCTTTTAAAGGCGCCCAAAGCAGTGATTACAGAATGGCTTTGATTAATGATACTGGATCACACAACATTTGAGCTGGATGAGTTGTCCATTAGCGATCACTGAATCGCGTCCCTCAGTTTACAGATAACAGATCAGAGGCACTGGAACCTGAAGATTCAGACAGCTCACAGAACTCATTGTGGAAGTTCTGGGACTAGAATCCAGGACCCCTGACAACCACTTCATGTTTTAGATCACTCTGCAGAAACAGCAAACAATGAAAAGTTGTTTCCTAAGGTGAAGGGGCAGACAGCCACAAGGACTATGTTCTGAATCGACTGCATTTGGCCCCTCAGAATGTGGCTAATGGCACCTGCTCTTGCAATTGCCACCTGTGTCCTCAAGCTTGGAATCCTTGGGCCCACCTCCAGGCCTGGAGGCTGGGGCAAGCGGCAGGAGCCGTCCTGTGGTCCAAAGAGGTCGACCAGCAGCCCAGACCCCGGTGCAGCTGCCTAAACTTGGCATCTGTTCCCCATTCTATGGTCTTGTCCCACCTCAAGTCCTGTTGTCACTTCCCTGGACAAATTTAGCCCCATCCGTCTTCTGCCCCAATCTGTCTCGGGCCTGGGTCTCCTCAGAGCCCCAGTCAAGCATGAATGGGTTTGTACAATCCTTGGGGAACCACAGTGGTCAGGGTCCTTCTGAACCATCTGCACTGTCTTTGCAGTACCCCATGGTGTCATTGTGGGTGTTGTTTGGCTTCCTGTGCTGACAGGAGTTCTCATTGACAAAAGCCTGAACAAATCGAAGCTGTACTGAAATAACAGCACTCTTTTTAGATGAAAGAACTCCCATCAAAGAACAGCTCTGGCTGCCCACCCCCCCATCCTCCATTGAAATGACCAACATTTGCGGGAGCTGTTGTTACGTGCTTCTGGAAGAGGGTGGAGAGTGAGGGTGGGTGGTAATCTAAAGGAAGATGGGAAGTTGTGTGTGTGTGTCTCCATTGGAACCAATAAGATGTTCGTGATTATTTTTTTGACCATTTGTTCATTCACTCATTCATTTATTTTTTGTCTTGTTTGTTTATATTCTGATTCTATCCAAAACTATGTTTGACAAAACCAGGAACAAAGGGCACATATGCGGTAAATAAAATAAAAATGAATTCAGGTCTCTAAGAAGGAGGAAACAGATTTCGTTGGAGTTGTCATATGAAATCTGTGTTAAATATCAAATTTTACTCTGACCTTTGTCAGGATAAAGGTCAGGATAAAAGACGAATACCAGGATTAAAGAGGAATACACAATTAATGGTTATCAGAAAAGGTAAAAAATATTTCAATTTCTTCAAGAGAGACTAAGTGTTGGTATTCTGGGACTCATGCCATTACTAAACACTTACTGAGGACGTGCAGGTGCTTGGCCCAAAGCTCTTGGCCCAAGACACACCTCTCCCTTCCCTTCTCTGTCTTCAAAGTGTCCTTACTTCAGGCCACCTGGGGCACCCCCAGAAAACATGTGCTTAGTGTTAGTACGAGTTCTCTTTCTGGGTGTCAGAGTAGGGCTTGCAGTAATGGGGTTTAGTTTGGATCTTGAAATGATGTTGTTCATGTGGTTCCAGGATTTGCAAATTTTGAGGCCAGGAATAGGAATTTTAGGGGGAAACAGAATCCAGTCCTGCTGTGGCTACCCAGTCTCCACCAACGTACCTTTCCTTCTACCTAAATTGCCCTTTCTGTGGCCCCTTTTTGCTGTGTCAAGATGCTTTTTCTAACAGGGCATCTAGAGGGAAGAGACTTGTATAAGAACACACGTCAGAGAATGTCGGCTCAGAGGATTAGTAGGTGACATGACTCCGTATTAATTTTACACACCTCTTTGGCCCCTCAAAGTGGGGAGTAGAGTCAGACCTGCAGGGTTCAGGAAACTAATATTATATACACATAAAGTGAATACTATTAAAGTCCCACCCTGAGCTTCTCCACTCTGAAGTTGTAACAGGAATTTAAATTCTTCCAGAAGGAAGAGGCAGTGTTGAGATCCCCATCCCTTTACATGCCTGTGAAAGCATGAATTCATTCCATCCTCTTAAGACTTGGGGTTTGTCAGGGGCTGTACTGGAACATGCTAGACCTTTTGAGTATAGCAAGGAAATGAGTCACAGAGATCTGATGTGTTGGACTTTTGTGATAGATGGCAGGAGGAAGAGTAGTCCTTTTTCACTGGGATTCAGATGAATTACCTGAATATTTACTGAGTGTTTGTTTGTTTGTTTGGTTTAAATGTAAGCATACATACCCTTTACATACATTGCATATTCACAGAAGCCGGTTTTAGAATGCCTAAAAAAAGGAATATTTCAAACTGTGTGCTCTTTAGTTGATAGGAAATCATGTGTCTGGATTCTTGGCCAAACATCGTCGTTTGAAGGACCAGGCCCAGGGGCTGGGTTTCAGAGCATGGGCTGCAGTCCTTTGCCTTTGTCCTAATGATACTGATTCCAACCACATGTTTTCCGAGACGACTAGAAACACTGGGGTTTGAGCCTTCAAGTGAACAGAATAAATGTGTTTGATTCTACTTGCAATGTTTTTCATAATTATTTTAAGCAATGACTTGATTCTTACTTATGCTTATTCTCTTTAAAAGTATTAGAAAGGAAGATATCCACAAGACAAAGTAGAGAGGAGCTGATAAGAAGGGGCGTTCTTAAGGAGTTGCCTGATCAAGGTGAGGAAATTAATCATACATTTAAAGTAACTTGATCTCTCATTCTTTGGTCTTTCTTTCATTTTCTTTTGAAATTTAAGATGATCATGGTCTTTGGGAGATAAAGCAGTGAGTATGGCCCTCTGAGAATCTTGCTTTAATTCAGAATGCCTTTGTGGGCTGCAGAGGATCGAAGGTATTCTAGAAAAGAAATTCAATAACCTTCTTGGTGAGTCCTTCACCGTATGTCACTAACCCTAAAGCTCTCCAAAGGTGAACTGGCTGAAGATACAGATAAGATACAAATGCTTATATGACACCTCTTCTTTTCTTGAGCTTCAGTCTTTCTATGCAAGTTATCTCAATTGTTTGAGTAAATGCAGAGTTTTAGCTTGGCTGGTGCCTTTGGGTTTCTTCAATCTACCAGTAAAAGAAAAAGGGAGAGAAAAGAAATGTCAATGTACCTCTTGTCCTTTATTCTCTATAATACATTCAAATGTTCAATCAGTAAGGCATGAATAGACAAATTAATCTGCTTTATGCATTCTCTCAAGTAATTTTCCTACTGTTGTGCTCTTTTCATTTCTTTGAATCTAATTGTCTTTCACCTTTTCACTAACAATTACTATTTCCAAGTATTTTTCCCCTGCCCCTAATCTTCCCCTGCCCCCTTTTATTACCCTCCCAAGAGGGAGTCTTGCTCAAAAAGACAAGGATTAGGTACAAACCAAGATAGACCCTCAGAAGAAGACACCACGATTGATTATTTCTCCAAATAAGTAATGCCAAATAATTTTCATTGCTCCCACTACTATTAAAACTAAAGGGAATTTTTGTTGCAAAATTGTTGATTTACCTCATGCCTTCCCTTGCCCCACCCCCTGGATATTTACTGGGCTAAAGTTGTATTACTGTACTTTTATGAAACAAAGTACTATTAATTTGGAATTGAAATCATACTACTTCTCTTTTTCTGATAAATGTGCCTTGCAGAGAACATCTTTTGGAATTCACTATTTATAAACCCAAATGACACACTTTTTCCAACATCTGAATAATTCCTGAACAGGGCTAGGGAATGCTTTACTATTTTACTCCTGCTTCAAAGAATGTAGGGAAAAGTCTGGAATGAATAATACCATTTTTCTTGAGCCCTCACAGTTTTAGGCATTTGATTTCAATCTCTGACCTATTATACTTTTCTCATTCTGTTTTATGAATGAATTTTATGTCTTCTCTAGTTTTCCATTACTAGGAAGCTATTTATTTCCTGTCTGGGGCTTTAAAAAAAATGCACATCCCTAACTTATTGTCAGTTGAAGGTAGACTTGAAATGTTAAAATCTGTCTCCCCTCTAATCTCTTGGGAGGCAGGAGAAAAATTACAAATCCACTGAGCAATCAATCCCCTTTCTGGGGAGAGTAATACCCTTTCTGGGGTTGGCCAGTGTAATTGTTTGGTATCATTTATTTGGAAATTTTTTAAAAAAAGGGTTTTTTTAATCTTTATTTATTTTTGAAAGAGAGACAGAGACAGAGTCAGAGTACAAGCAGGGGAGGGGCAGAGAGAGAGAGAGAGACACAGATTCCGAAGCAGGCTCCAGGCTCTGAGCTGTCAGCACAGAGCCTGATGCGGGGCTCAAACCCACAAACCATGAGATCGTGACCTGAGCTGAAGTCAGATGCTTAACCGACTAAGCCACCCAGGCACCCCAATTTGGAAATTTTTTAAAGAAAGGAAAAATGGAAAAATTTATGATGAAACTGTTACCGAGTATGAAAGACAGATATAAAGACCCCCTTTTTTTTAATCTGATTAAAAAATCATAGCTAGAAAAAAGTTTACTTTTTCTAAAAACAAGTGGCAATGGCCAGTTTAAAGAAATCCTTAGTGTTGATTGGTTTTTGCTCTGCCTAATCTGTTAAACTATGTACTTGATCGCTTATGATATCATATACTTATTTCCCAGAAATCGGACACTGGTTGACCTTTTTGTAACTTTTGTGAGCTGAACATTACAAGTTTTAAAACATAAAAGAAGAAAAACAATTTTTCACCTAACCATACTGTAATAGGTTTAATGTTTGGGAAGCCATAAGTTACTGAATTGTACTTTCTGCCTTTTTTGTGGCCCCTAAGTAGACCTATAGAAATGACCTAAACCTTGAAAGTTCCTGGTGATGCCAATAGTAAACAGTCTTTTCCCCTTTTCAACCAAGGGCTGGAAAAAATAGTTTTCTGTCATTTTTCCAAAAACAATTATCTTGAGAGTTTCGGTCTGTTTTCAGCTCTAGCCAGAGACTGGAAGCTGCTGTGCTTGGTGACAGCCTCCCGTCTTCTACCAGTGAAGATTCATTCTTTGCCTTGATGTGCTTGACCTTGCCTCAGCTCTCTTGACACTTACTGTCAATTTTGCCCTTTATTCAGTGAGCCAGATAGGCTTTTAGAATCCCTCCAGCTCCCCTAGGTTTGACCCATCCCCCCCCCCCCCCCCCCCCACCCCCACTCTCAGCTATATTGTTATTATTATTATTCCTTTTAGATTATCTTTTTTACAGTAAGATCTAACTTCAGCTAAAAGTTCAACAATTGGCCTTCTCTCCTGAGAATTCCAAGGTCTAGTCCAAGTTCCTTCCTTATTTCTGGTTCTTTCCTTCCATCTCTCCCCGTAGCTTTAACACGAGGGCAAGGAGATGTTTCTGCCTGCCTTCCAGCCTCCTTTCTTTCTCTCCTGTGGTGTACTTTTTAACCTTCTGATGAGTCACTCACCTTTTGGTCTCACAGCCTTCTCCTTATCTCTGTTTCTCTGTGAACTATATCCCAGATACACTTGTTTGAGCAGAAGGAGGTAAAGCCCCCAGACGTCTGTGTATCTCTTGGTTCACTTTAAGCTTACAACCTTTTTTGAGTTGCCTTTTGCCTTTGCACACGAATGCTCTTATTGCTATAACGTCAGCGTCTTTCCCTGCTGTCCTTTGCGAGCACGTGTGTGTGTATTTTACTTACATACATAAACTGTATCAAGGACTTAACTTATTCTAACTCTACAATAATGTACAAAACTAGAAAACTTTTTCAATACACACGCCAGTTAGTTATTAATAACTTCATCTCTACTGTGTTTTATTCTTGAATTCTGTATTTATCACATATGTGTCTCCTTTTTCTACAGTTATTTTCATATGCGCTAGCTTTATTTCATACCTCAAAGTAAGTATCTTTCCACTTTGTTGACTTTATGTGATAATCCAATTTCTTATTGCACTTTGACTATTAATTTTCTCTCTAGCTTTTTTGTTCTAGATTTTAAAAAATCGGTTCTTTAACCTACTATAGAATTCTAGCTTAATAAGGGTTGAAACAGAATTAAATTTTCACTAACATAACTTCAGCATATTTTTGTTATCGACTAAAGCCAGAGAACTCAAAGGTAAATTTATATTTGGGTTGCCTAAAAATTGAGGTTTTTTTATATAAAGAAGTGGTTTTCTACTTTGTTTGGAATTTTCCATTCTTGCATTAGTTTTTGGTTTTCCTGTGTCTAATACCTGGACATTACATTATGTCTCCCCTCCCTTGTTTTTAATAGTGAATTCCTTGGGATCTAATAATAAGAATGAAGAGTCTTTTGGTTTCATTTTGGTTTGACCTATACTCTTCGAAAAGTATTACCTTAATTTTATTGAAATAGTTAAGATTTATTTGCAATGGCATTACCTTCAATTATTGTCTATTTTACTTTTAGACAGGAATCAGATTATAGGTACTTGGAAGTTATATGGCTTAAGCAACAATTTCATTTTCATTTTGAGCATGACAGAATTCCATGATATGTATTTTTCTTATTAAAATGTCATGCCTGTTTTTGTGGAGAAGGCCAATGGATTTTATTGTTGAGCCAAAGCAGTTCAGTCATATTTAATGAAAATATGAGAGATGATCTGTTTTATTTGTAACGATTGCCAAAATAAGATTAATAAAAAACTGCATAAGAATAGCTTATGCATTCTTCAAATTTGCAAAGTCAAAACTTCAACTTTATTCTTCTTATTATTATTATTATTACTTTTACAATGGTAGCAAAGCCTCTTCAAATGTTCCATATATGACCTAAGGTTAATCTTTTCAAGTATCACTGAGTTAAGAGTTTATGCAAAATCTCATTCACTTTTGAAGCTTCTAAAAATTGTGAAAGTTCAGGGATTAAAATTAGTTATTTCTGATTTAGATAACATATTGCAAATTTTATTTTCAGTTGTGATTTTTAAAAAGTTCCTCTGCAATTACTTTTTCTTTTAATTACATGTTTTTCCCCCCTAATGTTTTCAAATTATTATTAGGTCACATTAAAGGCTTTTGGTCAGTTATGTGTGACAATGATCTGAATACATTTTAATATTTCCATAAGTAAGAAAATGAAAATAAAATTAGCCTCACTACTAGCTTTTCCTGAATACAGAGTGGCAGTTATCTTTCTATGTAAAGTTAGCATATCATAGATGCAACAATCTGGAGACAGTGGCAGTTGGAAAATTTCATATTATCCCTCTTATCATTTGTATGTGTAACTACATTTCATGTTATCTGTGTACTTATATTCACCTTGTGTTTTTAGTGCTTGTTAAAATGTTTATTCCATTTTTCAGATTTCTCCTTTTACCGTTCAGTGTCTGAATGACAGAGACTCCTAAGTCCTGACTTCAACAAAACCAAACGCAAGAAGAGAAGGGCTGTGCTGCCCTGGGATATTTCATAATTAGGATAATAATTTCTACTGTCCTAAAAGGGCACGTGGATATCCCCACCATTACTGTTTTTCCCCCAAGACTAAGGATTTCCTAGCTCTTTTGTTTGAATGAAATGTTTAGTAAAACATGGTGAAACAATACAGGATGTATTTGGTTCCCAGGGCCTGATACATGAACCCAAACCCTATAGTCCTAATAACTGGAAAACTGGGTTTTAAGAAAACCATCAAGTTAGACATCTAGGTGTTTCTTTCCCCATTTTAGATGGAGATGTAACAGTTAACTTTGAAAATTCAAACGGGCACATGATACCCATCGGAGAGGAATCTACCCGAGAGGAAAATGTAGTAAAATCTGAAGAAGGTAATGGCTGTGTAGCTGAAAAAACACCACCTCTGGAGGAAAAGGCAGAAGATAAGAAAGGTAAAATCAAGAGAAACCCCCTATTCTTTTGTTTCAATACAGCTCAATATTGAGAATTAGGTCTTAGGCTCCAAACAGTGATTCTTAGGTTAGGACCAGTTAGAGAGAGAGCAGGTTTGCAAATACAAAGAAGAGAGAAATTATAGCTAGTGAAGAGAAATAGGATGATTTTCTTAGGTAGATGCGTCCATTTTGTAAGCACATCATTATTTATTTTTTTATTTAATTAATTAACAATCAATTAAGCATTAATTAACAGTAATAATCAGTTAGAGAGAGAGCAGGTTTGCAAATACAAAGAAGAGAGAAATTATAACTAGTGAAGAGAAATAGGATGATTTTCTTAGGTAGATGCGTCCATTTTGTAAGCACATCATTATTTTTTTTTATTTAATTAATTAACAATCAATTAAGCATTAATTAACAGTAATAATCAGAAGGGATATTCTCTTCAATCATTAGAGAGCTGAGAATTTTTTTTAATGTTTATTTTTGAAAGAGACAGAGTATGAGTGGGGGAGGGGCAGAGAGAGAGGGAGACATAAAATCTGAAGTAGGATCCAGGATCTGAGCTGTCAGTACAGAGCCCAATGTAGGGCTCAACCCCGCAAACCGTGAGATCATGATGTGAGCCAAAGTCAGATGCTTAACCAACTGAACCACCCAGGCACCCCATATCTGGGAATGTTATCCTTTCCTTGGAAGCTTTTTTTTTTTAAAGTTTATTTATTTTGGGAGAGGGAGCACACAAGCAGAGCAGGGGCAGAGAGAGGGGGAGAGAGAGAGAGAGAGAGAGAGAGAGAATCCCAAGCAGGGCCTCTCCACTGTTAGCACAGAGCTGACGTGGGGCTTGATTGCATGAACCATGAGATCATGACCTGAGCTGAAATCAAGAGTCGGATGCTTAACCAACCGAGCCATCCAGACGCCCCCTCAGAAACTTCATGTCAGTATTATGTTTATTTATTTTTTTTTTTAGAAAAAATGGTATCAATCTGAATATCTTTTTTACTGTTAGAACTGACCCCTGTGAGCATGTCAGCATGGTAGAACATCAAAACCAAGATATTTCAGCATAGCACTGTCTCCATTTGTGGGAGCTTGGCTGGTAGCATCCAGATACTTAATGTTGTAGGTCCTAGTTGAGGTTCTAGACATGTCTGAGAGAGACCCAGGAATAGTTCCCAGAGATGCTAGGGACTGTGGTTACTGTATTAACCACAGAAACCTGCTTTATGATTTGTCTGTGCAATTAGAAATTTCAAAACATGCCAGGGGCAATTATGCTATTCTCTGAAGGCTTCTTTAAAGACCTTGGTTTCTAGAGTGAATATGCTATGGTCAGTTAAGATACCAGCAAAATATATGTCTATCAAGGACCCCTCAAGACATTCACAAGTTCCTGGTCACTGGTTCTAGATGATTCCATGCAGCATAGAAATGAATCCTTAGGAGACAGACTGTTTCCTGTTCTATAATGTCTGCCTATGAGTTGAATGGCAAAAACTTGTCAGACCTAGCTTAAGTTCTGTAGGCATTTTGAGAATTCTTAGAAACTGCTGAAAGCAAACTTCTCTTCCTCTGTTCTTGACCCAAATCCTTCAAAGACAAAAGAACAAAAACAAAGAAACAAAAGGGCATTTGACAGATATTGTAACTTAAAATTACTTTCTCTGAAAGTCCATAACCCCTTGTTTGCATTTAATTAGCCTGCAGAAGTTTTAGAAGCCCTATTAACAATCTGTTAGAAATTTATTGTTTTGCTTTATTCAATATTAAGCATAGTATTCGGGGGCTTTCCTTAGTCCTGCTCCATTGAAAGACTCTGGTTAAACTTATAAGTACTGACTATAAGAAATTAATATTTTTAATGATAATATCCCTGGAACATAAAGAGAAAACAGACCTACGTAGATTTCAAGGGGATTAATTTGAAAGTATTCGTGCAAATAGTGATTTTTTTTTTTCAAGTCCAACTGTCCTGTCTCACCAAACTGTTGAATTTCAAATCCATCTGTGGTTTGTCCCTGATACAGTCTTTTCAACATTCAAGAATCACACCCTTAAAAAAAAGAAAAATCACACCCGTCATTATGGAACAGTCCATCATTAGTGCTTGTCTGGTCTGTGTGGCATGTCAGTCATTGGGCTGGCCTAACTTCAAAGGAAGTGTTTCCCTTATCAACCTAATAAAGTGTTGCTGACAGTTTTATGTTCATTAAGCCAGCAGGCCCTGATGTTCTAAAAAGATGGCAGACCTCATAGTCATAGGTGCACGGATGTTTGAGTGTGTTTTTGCTTTCTTATTCTTTACTTAGAATTAGTACATTCAGTTCCTTTCGGTCAAATAAGGTCCAAGATAGCGTCTTGCTTAGCTAGTCTGTACTGAAACAGATAGAAATAAATGCTGGACATGCTGCCATATCACTAATAAGGCAGCAAAGCCTCCCTCTCACAGTGTGGATGGTGCACCTGCCAGAGCCACACTGAAAGTGGGGGGAAGCATTTGGTGTGGAAGCTGCTTCCTGAGAGCAAAAAAGAACGTCACTCATAACTCACGTTACAGAGTATTACGTTAAATAGAAAATACCTCATACACCAAGATCACCATTTATTTCTCTGGAAAGATAGCATTTAATTCCAAACAACAAGCCAAGATTCCCTTTTCCTTCTGTTCCTTTCATGGTCTCACTGTCATGCAAATCCACGATCCCATGTCCTTAATTCACCCTTTGGCTGTTCTTAATTCCTTTTTTGGGGGGTAAAATGCTCCCTTTGCTTTCACATGAAACGAATTTACCCAAGAGTGTTATTTGATCCATCGATTAGTTATATTTGCAAAACCATATCATGTGCCTTTACAGTCCCAAATGCTTGTATCCCTTTTTTAAGATAATGTGTCCATACCTTAATAGTTGAAACATGAAGATCAAAGATAACAAAATAAATGGCAAGTGCCCTTTCCATTACACCACGTGTGGGTTCTGCCCAGGACACTTGGGTGTTCCTGGGTCTCTGATCCTCACCGGAATCTCGAGTTAGTACTTGGGCCTCTGATGCCCAATACTGCTGACTTTTCCCTTAAAACCTTCAGGGCTTTTAGTCTCCCATTATTCTTTCTCAGTAAGTGCCTTGAAATATATAAGAAAAACTGATCTGTATTGTGTTAAAGATACATTGGTGTTAAATGTAAGAAATCTGAAAATTATGTGATACTATGTCCATTGAGGTATTAGCACTTTCAATGAAGTAACAAGTGATTGACATGCATCTGTTTCACAAACAAGAATGAAGGTCTACCATAGGTAAGACTTTGCTGGGACCAGAAAAAGAATGGTGAGTCAGAATTGCCCTTTGACTTCAAGCAGATTGTGGCCTCCGGGAGACCAGCATCAAAACACCTGAGTACAGGGAGCCAAAGAGTTTGCGGTGAGAACCACATTTGCTTCTTAGAAGCAGACATTTCCAAACTGAGGCCTGAAGGAGACAAGGAGGTAGTCATGTGAAGGAGAGGAATAGGAACAAAGGTGACTTCTAGGTAAGGTGAGGGCCACATGCTGTTCTCAGGTTCGCTCTAAGTGCCGACCTGAACGTTCCATGGGGTGGAAGGAGCCACACTTGGAATTATAGTAAATAGCTCTCCTCCAGACCATATTGTTTTGAAGCATAGTATCTGTATCAACCCAGAGTGACTAGGCACCCCATCCTTACCCTCTTCTTGGAAAAGTAATACTCATATACACCATCAGTTTATATCATGCCTTCAGATCACATGGTAATAATCAAAAATACAATAGCTTCCTTCATACCGCCCAGATACAAGTAGAGAGTTTGTTCTCTACTAAGGTGTTGTTGATAACTATCGGCCAGTCACGTTCGTTGAATAGACCTCGTGTTTAAAGCATTGTGTTTAATGGGATATGACATTTAAAAAGTTTTATTTATTGATTTTTTAAATTTTTTTTAACGTTTATTTATTTTTGAGACAGAGAGAGACAGAGCATGAACGGGGGAGGGGCAGAGAGAGAGAGGGAGACACAGAATCTGAAGCAGGCTCCAGGCTCTGAGCCGTCAGCCCAGGGCCCGACGTGGGGCTCGAACTCACGGACGGCGAGATCGTGACCTGAGCTGAAGTCGGACGCTTAACCCACTGAGCCACCCAGGCGCCCCTAAAAAGTTTTTTTTAATGTTTATTTATTTTTGAAAGAGAGAGACAGAGAGCGAGTGATGGAGGGGCAGGGAGAGGGAGACACAGCATCCGAAGCAGGCTCCAGGCTCTGAGCTGTCAGCACAGAGCCCGATGCAGGACTTGAACTCACGAACCGCGAGATCGTGACCTGAGCTGAAGTCAGATGCTTAACCGATTGAGCCGTCCAGGCGTCCCAAGGGATATGACATTTTAGACAAAAGGAATTTTCAGTTCAGTCAGAAGAGCATACAGTTTGCATACAGACATACACCCCACTTAGGGTTCTCCACAGACTAGACATAAATATTGGCCCTCTGGCAAACACGTACAGAGCATTGGCAGAGTCCACAGAGGGCAGAGGTGTGGATGGTGCTTGTCCATGAACACGAAGAGCTCACACTCAGCGGGTTCACTTTCAGCCTAGGTGGGATTGTCACTCCCAGCTGTCACAGAGTGACCATCTCCTCCCTCCCAAACCCAGAAACCGCATTCTTCGGGGCACAGCTTTAGAATTTGAAACCTTAGGCAGAAAGAAGTCAGATCTCCGGCGATAGGCCCGTGCGGACAGGCGAAGAGCTGTGAAGGTTTATAGCGTGAGAGAGAATGGAGATGCCCGGTGCTGGAGATGAGTTCATGGGCTCTCACCATGGAGAGGACTTGATCTCTGTGCGTTATGCAGCTGTCTAATCTTACAAAGAATAATCTCAAGAAGTATGTAAAGAGTAGGCCGTTGCCCCACATCACAAGTCAACATAGATTTATATGTTTTATGTTAAAATGAAGTGATTTGCGTGTACCATCAACTTGTATTGTTCTTGCCTCTGACTTTTGTGACTAAGTGGCCTTCTGCTTCAGACCAGGTAGGTTAGGAGAGTCACTGTTGTACATACAACACAAAGACACACATAACAAAGTAGCCTCTGGTAAATACTGAGTAAGTAGCTCAGACCGTAAATATAAGAAAAGTTCAGTGGCAGGAGGGGACTGTGGTAGGTTTCATGGCTGGGAGAAGATAAAATAAAAGCTTTATTGATTAACTGCTATAACTCAAATCATTGTTTTTCTTTAATTTTTTAAAAAATAATTCATGTATTTTTGAGAGAGAGAGTGCAAGCGGGGAGGGGCAGAGAGAGAGGGAGACAAAGGATCCGAAGTAGGCTCCACACTGACAGCAGCGAGCCCAGTGCGGGGCTCGCACTCACGAACTGTGAGATCATGACCTGAGCTGAAGTCAGACGCTCAACTGGCTGAGCCACCCAGGTGCTTTTTAATCATTCTTATGGCAGTTATATATGTGGATGGATGGGATGTAGTCCAAAAAATGGGGGGAATTCTCAGTTTTTACTCATGAGAATGAGAAATGAAACAAAAGAGATCATAATAAAATAGGATGCATTCTAATATCAAAGCCCTTTCTTGGTCATTCAATAATGGGGGGCTATATCCAGTAAAGGCTTGGTCTTGTCTTAACACTGTCTTACTTTTTTTTTTTTAATTGTGTTCCATTTTTAAAGAAACGCTGCTTAGCTCTTTGGACCAGAACTGTATTTTAATTCATTTTAATTTCAGTCAGCCACTATTAGAAACAATGCAGATGTGAGTACATGAATGAACACCCAGCATCTCCACTTTTGATCATGAGAGACTCAGACCGTTTCTCCTCCAGTTAGGCAAAATCTTGTGAGAGGCTTCTGTTCTTAGGTATGAATTTTTGTTTAATGGATTCCAACCTTTGTCTTTTCAAAATTGTTACCTGTATTTACATGTCAAAACAAATTTGATATTTGGGGGGATTCTGTGCCCTCTGTACCTGTAGTTGTGACACTGTTTGAAAAGGTCAGAGGAAGTTACTGAGAAACGGGAATTGTGTTCCTGGGAGAGCTTGAGAGTATTTTAATAGTAGAAAGTGGTGTATTCTTCAGTGCGTTGTGCTTCCCGGAAAGGATTCTACAGTGTCTCCCTTAGCTTAGAAAATTACTGATGTTTGGCCACAATGAGACAGAGCTCATAATCCTTTCTGGTTGAGGGCATGAGTTCTCCTGAGAGAAGGTCTCTCCTCAGAGGGTATGAAGGTCGTGGAGTCCAGTCATTGCCTCGCTGTCAGCCCCCTGGCGTCACATGCAGTGGGCTAACCAGCCATACCCAGGTGCCCTTCCGTTTTGTTAAGTTTAAATTGAGCCCTCCTGCCCGTATCCTCACCCGGCAGCCTCCGGTGTCACGGCAGGTGTCAGCCCCTGGCAGTGGACATTGGCGCTCCTCCTCAGCACAGCTTCTTCAGAGTAACTTGGGCAACCTGTTTTATCACAGGAATGGTATATGTATGCAGACAGTGCGCCCCAGTTTGGCTTTCGGCCTTGGTACCTTTGGTCCTTCTTCCCCCCAGCTGTGCCCCCCCTGGTGTAGAACCCACACTGGTTCCCAAGGGCCAAGCAGCCGCGTGTTTGTATCACTGTCGCCATATGTCTTGCTCCTTCCGTTTATATGGTGTCTGTCTGTATCAGTGTGCTTCTGTTCACTTTCTCGTTTATAGAGAACACTGAAAACCACCCTGAAACACCGGCTCCTGCTCCACCTCCTCCAGCTCTTCCTAGGCCTAAACCCAAACCTAAACCCAAAAAAACACCGGGGCCTCCAAAAGGGGCTGCTGCTGGGGTAAGCCCCAAGGGTGACGAAGTGCCTCCTATTAAAAAAATTACCAAGGCTCCTGGTAAGCAGGCCCCCGTCCCTCCACCCAAGCCAGCAAGCCGAAACACGACCCGAGAGGCTGGTGAGTATGCCCCCTGGGGGCTCGAGTCTAGGGTGTTTGGCTCTGGGTGGGGCTGATTGCTTCTAGAAATGATGGACTTTTCGGTGTCTGGTGTCTTAGAATGTGACACCGGTGGATTTAGTTTTGACATACACAGTACACAGGAGGTTCCTTTGTTGCCGTCTCTACCAAAGGAAAGTCAACCAGTTGATTAGTTGACCTCATTACTTTTTGGGTGAAGAGACCTCTTTCATCCTAACGATCCACTGTCTGTGTAAGAACCAGTGCAAGGATTCAGGGCGTCATATGCCTGATGAATGGCCGTGATCTGATAGCATATTATGTACACATCGCCTGGCCTTCTGCCTATTTCAGTTTATGGGTGGCCTTTTGGCTTGAGTTTTCCTTCCAAATTATCTTAAGTTGTACAGAAGAATACGACACTTACATCTTTGACATTTCTGCTGGCTCTTAGTATCTTAAGTCTTTCCGCACACACAGTCATTTCTCTACTGACAAATGCCGAAGGATCCTATCAGGTCAGCCCCACGCCACCACCCTCTACGGTGCAGTCACAGCCATTTCAATGGAGTTGAGAGCCATCGGCTCAGTGTCCACCCTCCACGCTATTTTCCAGACTTCAGTGTATTGTAAGCAACAGCATCCTAGAAGTCCATTTACAAGTCACTAGAGCACACTGCCAGAGGTGGTGTGGGGGACCTACGGTAACTGCTTGTAATGTGTGTCCCACTTTCCGTTCAAATCAGAGACGCTTAATGCAAAGTGGCGCTCCCAGTTTTCCCATGAAGTAGAATAAAGAAGCTTCCAGGTCCACCAGCTTTAAAAAGGACAGTCATCAAAGTATACACGCTAAATGGGTTTTCCCATTAACACATGCAAAAAATTCTCCTGTGGTAGCAAACCGTATTTTCCTTAAAATCAGCAGCAGCTTTCTTGCCATTGGCTACCAGAATATGCCTTCATATTGATCTTTTTCCCTCCATCGTTTATACCCATGATGCTCAAATGCAGAGAAGGGCTTAGGTGACAGTATAACCGAACTCCAAATACAAATAGGTATTTCTCTACCTGTGCTCCTCTCTTCAGCCTTCGACCTTGAGTGTCTGAGTGTTTGCTAAAAAGCTCTGAAATGGTATGTCTCAGAACATTGTGCTCACAGTGTCTATGGGCCATTTCCTCATGCACCAGCTGCCCTTCCCAGGTCAGCGTCCATTCTTGTTGGTATGTCTGTGTTTCCCAGACTGCCTTGCAAACCCTGCAAGCAGTGCTTGAAATGAGGCAGGCAGTGATCCACTTCTTAAAGAAAAGCCCAAATCACCCCATGCTTGGGAATTGCACAGACTTTCCCATTTCTTGTGCCCCATGTGGTAGCAGCTCACGACTGACTCAACTTAGACACTCTCTTACTTCTCTCAGAAGAAAGCTGGTGACTAATGCCAGGGCAGGGGACAGCTTGCATGAGAGATTTTGACTTATTTCCAGATATTTTACTTGAAGGCTTATTTATAGATTCTTGATCTTCTAGGAGAATACTACAGTCATATTATTATCTATTGTTTTAAAAGAGGTTCCACTGGCCCATAGTGTGAATAACAGCGTTGCTCTTCTCTCAGGCCATCACAGAGAAACAGAAGTTGCATTGAACTATACCAACAAGCCAGTTGTGCAAGGATACTTTCATCAACTGCTGATTAAACTCCTTCAGAATCCAGCTGATACTCCATTTGTAACCCTTTAGAGTTTTCTACATGGCACCTTTGTTTTACTTGAATAATGTTGTTGGCCTTCCAGAAAAGTAACTCCAAATACTACTCTTGATTTGTAGTCAGATGAGCTAAGTTCTTGTAAAAGCTATCAATTAAGATTCTTCTTCAATTCGTAAGTTAGTATAGACCTCCAGATAACCAGATACTGGCTTAGCACATTCACCTGCTTGGTGAGTGAAATAAGGTCATACCTCTGGTATTTTTTCTTTCTCATTGTTACATACAGTGTAAACACAGAAGTATTTAACGGAGGAGAGATAGCTTTACTTTTTTTAGTCATGGTCTTAATTCAGGGTAACTTCTGTAACACGGTTGATTTCAGCAAAGTCTTGTCATTTTAGAAGATACATAAAGAAGTATCTTGAAAAGTGTGACTTGAAGTTCTACTCCAGGCATTGCAAACCTGTCTTTTCCTTTAAGTGCAGCTAAAGTTACCTTGGCTGTTACAAAAGAAAGAAGTTTCTGTAAAAAAATATATATATATCTATATATATAGATAGATAGATAGATACACATATATACACATATATATCTCTCTCTATGTGTATATATCTATATATATAGAGAGAGAAAGAGGTATCTATCTCTATATTTATATCTATCTATCTAATACACATTGATATGTGAAATGGATTCTGTTCGGTTTACCTAAGAAAATTGAACATGTTTAGACATCAAATCCTTAGATCTTTGTTGGGAAAAATACATTTAGAATGGACTTAGATAGTAAAAATATGCTTAATACCTTTGTCTTATTAGGAAGTGAAGATGGTTAGCTTCAAAGAAGTAGTGTTAGCATGCCCAGACTTGGGGTAGTATGAATTCTAGTTGTGTGTGTCTAAAATAATAAAGCCCCCAAGGAATAAAGGTTTCTTTTAAGCCTGGATCTTGTCACCAAGTGAAACTCACTTTTTTAAAGTATATCGGAGTTGATGACGTCTTACATCTCATTGTTTATTCCCTTATTTGTTCTTTATCTCTTGACCCTCCCAGCCAACTTCAATAAAGTTATAAGCATAAAGGTAAGTTACAGTCACATCTGTTGTGGATGGGCTTCATAATGCTAACAAGGAGGTATTTTCTAATAGTTCTACGGACAATAGTTTAACCCCTCACGGAAAAGAACACATCACGTTACAATGGAAGAAGCAATTAGGAGAAATTTATAGATAGTAAAGGTCATGAAACAGAAGACTGTGTCTCCCAAAATGATACCCAAAAAAAGCAGATTTAAGCTTTGTTTTCCTGCAAATGGTTTGGTTGAAGGCAGTCCCATCCAAAAGTCAGACTATCCTTCTAATGGCCACAACCATCCTCTGCTGAAGACCTTCTAGGAACAGAAGTGGCAAGGAAGATTGGATTTGTGAAAGTGTCACAAGATCTGAGAACGACACTTCTTTCTCTTCACGTTATTCGAATGCTCCCCATTTAGAAATTTTTTTTGCAAAAAATCATCTTTTCTGCCTTTTGATATTTTGAAGAGGACTTGTTTTTCATATGTGGCCATATGTTTTTACTCTGCCCCATCACCACTGTAGACGGAGGTGTGGGCCAGCCTGGCCAGCTTCTCTCTCTGGAACCATGGGGATAACTGGTTTGGAGTTGAGTACATTTGTTTCTGGTCCAGAAAGGAGCTAGAGGCACATACTGGGGCCGTTTCTGAATGTGGGCCACTCCACTCCCAAATAGACATCACAGAACATGTATAATTTGTGATGAGTACAAGCTGTCTGTACCCAGACAGCTGTTGTCTGTCTTCTGTACACTGTAATGTTCCTTCTTTGGAGCATACAAGGGCTTATTCAGGTGACCTGTAGGACAAGGAGCATTTCCCTTTGGCTGGGCCCAGCTAAAAAAAACTAGAGGGACTCCTTGGTCTCTTTAGGAGAGGACTCTTGTCCCCTAGGGTTTTGCCTTCAGCATCACTGGCTCCCTCCTAGATTCGAGGTAGGGAGGGGGCAGAAAGTAAAACTTATCATTATTAGCCTATTTTCTTGTATTCAACAAATGTTCACATTTTGAGGAGAACATCATGATTTGACAATTGCAACTCGTTCGTTTATTTAAAAGGCTTCTTTGACTTTTAATGCAAAATCTCTCTATTTTAGCTGGTTCCTCTCATTCAAAAAAACCAACTGGGTCCAAAGCATCAGCTTCACCATCGACTTCCTCCACCTCATCTCGTCCTAGAGCTTCAAAGGAGACACTTTCTAGCAAAACAGGGACAGTGGGAATCACAAAGGGCAAGAAAAAAACCGGCAAGCAGCCAACCTCTCGACCGTCCTCAGAGGCAACCACTTCGGGCACATCCGACCTTAGAGGAGACCCTTCTGAGACGAGGGTGGAGAGTCTCAAACCTGAGCAGACCGATGAGCGGACCACAGGCAAACCCGAGTCTGCGGTGCCTCCACCCCCTGTGGCTTCACCCCCTGCTCCCCCCGCCCCTCCACGTACTCTCGAGGAGCAGTGCACTGTTGCCCCAGACACGCCTGTGGTCCTGGTCAGCGATGGAGCTGCCCTGCCCACCCCTGCCTTAGACCCGAGTCAGCTTCTCTGGACCGAAGAGCCAACCAACAGAACCACTGTCCTCTCAGGCACTGGCTTAAGTGTTAAAGAAAATGCAAAATGGTGAGTCGGGGCATAAACCCCATGTTCTGTCTGTATCCCCTGTTAAGTGGAGTACTGAAGATCACTGAACCACTCTCTTGGAGATGAATGTGGAACCGACTTGGTGACTGTTAGGTAAACACACATGTTTTTCATAGCCCTGCCCCAGGAGTGTCATAGGCAACTGAGAAAATGACAACTGTCCTCATGACAGGCACCACTTCAGATCTTTGGCTTTTAAGTATATTTAGAGCCTGCTTCATCCCTGCTCAGCAGCCCCTTTTCTTTTCCTTGGACAGTTCCCTTTGCTTTCCTAAAAGCGGTTACTTTAAGTCTTGACTACTTGTGTCCAGATTGCTCACCCATTCCTGCCCACGAGTCATTTAGCCTTCTCTTCCTCTAAGAAAATAAAGACCGTCAGGTAAGAACGCTCTCAGATTCCATCTCCTTTCCCTCTAGCCTCAGAGGGGGCTCCCTTTCTTGCTTCCTCAATTCACCACCCGACTCACATGTTAACCTCCCCTCTGACACATTTCAGTGCTCATCCAGACAGAATCGTTGTTGCAGCTACTCTCCTCTGGCAGCCCTTTTTTCTACCCATGGGCCAGGACTAAACCGTGTATCTGTTTGCCAGTATATCCCCAGCAACCAGTGCAGAATCTGGTATGCCACAGACATGACGTCATCCAGTTGCCCAAGCCAGAAACCTGGGATTCATCCTAAGGGTCCTCATTCTTCTTCGTTCCCTGAATCTAATCCCTCACAAAGTCCTATACGTTTTCTACTTAAAGACAAAAAAACACATTAGCTCTCCTGTCCCTCGGGTATGAAGGGAGGGCTGTCTGGGTATAGTAGACGTTATAACCAATTCTGTCCAGGGAAGCGTTAGAGCTCTTAAATCCAAACTGTTCTCTCCTATTTCTGAGAATAAGACCTAAATTCACTCTTGTGATCATTTTAATTTAGTATGTTCTCTTTCAAAAAAAACCTGTCATGTTAGGACTTAAAAAAGTAGTACATTAATTAAGTTGATTTGGATCAAGAGACTATCAGCATTAATTATTCAATTGCTGATAATAATCACCTTCATTTATTGAATAGTTATTTAATGTCAGGAACTGTCAAGTTACCTTTAGTTCACAAAAGTCTTCTGAATATCTCTGATTAATAGACAAGAAAACAGACTCTGAGAGAGGTAGCAGAGTTAGCCCTAGATTCCCCACTCAGTAGGTGGCAAAACCAGCAGGCACACTCAGAGTTGCATGTCAAATTCCATGCTCTAAGAAATTCCATACGTTTTCAAAGCAATTGCTTCTACTTCTGCAGTTTCATTTGTGTTTGTTTCTTGTTTTTTGTTTTTGTTTTTATCCTTTCGAGCAGCGTGGTTGGAAGGAAAGCCAAGGCAAGATAAACAAATGTTAAATTACCAATTATTTTATTTGTTGGACATTTTAATAAACAATATGGGAGAAAACATTGAAGTGAAAGACTGATGTCCTTAATACTTCCAGCACATAGTAGATTTCTTCATTTATTTACAGTGAGTGTTTTCCAGCACTGCAGTGAATTCCAACCTTTAGAATTCAAGAATCTCTTTTTCGGTGTATATTTTCTGCTTGTCTTCTATGTGCTGGGCAGTGCACTCAGCACCAAAGACACAAAAGTAAGCAAGACATTATAGTTAAAATTAGCTTTTACCAAAGTAACGTCCAACACACAGGAAGTACAATTGTTTAAGACAGGTCTGAATAGATTGGGTGTATGGGTTTATTATTCAATAAACTAAAGAACAAGGTGCAACAAGGTGACTCCTTAGATAGTCTCAGGCAGTGAGAGAGTACATACACAAATGCAACTTGACTCTGTCCAGTCCACTTCCTCAAACATTTAGGGAAGGCCCTATGTTGTGCTAAGCACTGTGCTGCATGCGGGGGGTGCTCAATGTCAGTCTTCAGCCCAAGTATGCATAAGACCGTCAGACAAAAGAGGTGAGTGTCTGTTCTCCATTTCCACTGGACCTGTGATCAGAGAGCAAGCTTAGGACATCATTAGACATCTAGGTATTTATAATAGATTTTCCTGTCACTCCAAATAACTGTAATCCTTTCCTAGAAGAGGACATCAAGATTTTCTTTCTTCTCTGTCTATTCTTCAAAGTTAACGTTTTAAATTACAATTCATCCCACAGGGGTGGTTTGTTTGCTCTTGAGTTAATGAGCCTGGAATAAGTAGTCTCTCAAATTTTTTTCCAAATTCTTTCTTCCGTTTTTTTTTTTTTTTTTTTTTTTTCTTCTGTGTTTAACTGATTATTTCAGTTAGAATTTCTAGCTCTTAGTCACTTGCTTTACTTAGAACTTTTCCTCGGTTATGTTTAGTCAACGAATGTGTGAAAATCCTGTCATCTCATGAAGAGGCTTCTGTTTGGAATACAAATATCAAAGCTTCAAGGAAGATAAGTGGCTATGTGTAAAAATATCTTTCTCTATTCACATATTGCTGGGTAGTAACCATGTGGTAGATTTCTATTTATTGGCAACTTCGTTAGTATCATATAGGTCTGGGATAATTTAAGGCAGACACTAATACGCCCACCTGGAGCCCATAACCAGAGGGGACTTGACTTGTTCAGTCCATTTCCACAAACACTTTTTGAGTTCACTGTTTCGTCCAATGTGCCCAAGAAACTTAGGGGGCAGTGAGTGCCACGTCATGAGTTGACTGATACAAATTTGGAGTTTAATATTTAATATTAAGTTAATTATAATCTACATAATACGATATTAATGTAACATACACTATCAAGTATACATAACATTTAATAGGTAGATTAAGAGTCGTAAGTCTGAGTTCTAGACTGGACTTGATACCTTGTTCTGGGCAACACACACCCATGGTCTTCTTGGGTTCCATGAATTATAACTTATCTGGCCCCTTATACTGTAGAACAGTTGTAAGTTGTGAACGTATGCAGAAGACTTTGAAAATTACAAACCACTATAAAATACAAATGATGACGTTAAAAAGGTAGATATCACAATTAGTGAAGAATGACATGAGCAAACATCAAGCCTCAGCCCTAAAGTATCTTTTGTTCTGCTCTTCAGAATGTGTTATTAATTGACATGTCTATTGAATGTGCTGTGGTCACCCACAATGGCAGACTGTTCAAATAGGGATGGCCTCCAGTGCCAATCAAGTAGACATCCAGGCTGGGAAAAGTTTTCCCATATTTAAAATGAGATTTCACACTGTAGAAACACTATGATTCCTCAACAAATTAAACTTAGAATTACCATGTGATCCAGCAATTTTACTACTGTGCATGTAGCCAAAAAAAAAAAAAAAAAAAAAAAAGTAGGTGCTCGAATAGATAAATAAAATGTGGCACAGTGCAATATTATTCAGAATAGCCTTAAAAGAAAAGAAATTCTGGCATATACGAAAACATGGATGAACCTGGAAGATACGCTAAGTAGAAGTTAGACACAAAAAGACAAATGTTGCATCATTTCACTTATGTAAAGCACCTAAAGTAGCAAAATTCATAGAGACAGAGAGTCAAATGGTGGTTGCCAGGGGCCAGGGGATGAGAATGGGGAATTGTTGTTGAATGGGACAGCCTCTGTTTGGGAAGATGGCAGAGGTTCGGAGGCGGTCGGTGGGGATGTTTGCACAGCAGTGTAAATATACTAGGTGCCACCGAAGTATACACTTCAAAATGGTTCAAATGGCAAATTTATGCCGTGCATATTTTACACAATAAAAAATGAAATGTCGCATTTTCCCCTTTGAAAATGAGAATTTTGGCTGTTGGAGTTTTCTAACAAGTGCAAAATAGAGGACTTTTAGAGTGCTTAGACTTCTCACCACAGAGTACCTGTCAGTACCTTAGATTCTGACAGTGTTTACCTGTTTTTATTACTTAAATGACTGCTTTTTGGTTTTCCAAGTTAATGTAAACAGTAGGCACGTGTTTTGCCCAAAGCAGTCTTTCTGAAGTGTGACATTCCAAATAGAGATTCTATTTATATCAGAAGGCAATTTGGGGATTTTCTGCTTCTTAAAATGAAGGTTACGTTGGTTTTGATATGATATGTTTTTGATGTAAAGCATTTTTTTTATTCGAGTCTGTGAAAATTGACAGTCTTCATATATTTATAGTAACTTTATTTTTTTTTCAATATATGAAATTTATTGTCAAATTTGTTTCCATACAATACCCAGTGCTCATCCCAACAGGTGCCCTCCTCAATACCCATCACCCACCCTCCCCTCCCTCCCACCCCCCATCAACCCTCAGTTTGTTCTCAGTTTTTAAGTCTCTTATGCTTTGGCTCTCTCCTACTCTAACCTCTTTTTTTTTTTTTTTCCTTCCCCTCCCCCATGGCTTTCTGTTAAGTTTCTCAGGATCCACATCAGAGTGAAAACATATGGTATCTGTCTTTCTCTGTATGGCTTATTTCACTTAGCATCACACTCTCCAGTTCCATCCACGTTGCTACAAAGGGCCATATTTCATTCTTTCTCATTGCCGCGTAGTACTCCATTGTGTATATAAACCACAATTTCTTTATCCATTCATCAGTTGATGGACATTAGGCTCTTTCCACAATTTGGCTATTGTTGAGAGTGCTGCTATAAACATTGGGGTTCAAGTGCCTCTATGCATCAGTACTCCTGTATCCCTTGGGTAAATTCCTAGCAGTGCTACTACTGGGTCATAGGGGAGGTCTATTTTTAATTTTTTGAGGAACCTCCACACTGTTTTCCAGAGCAGCTGCACCAGTTTGCATTCCCACCAACAGTGCAAGAGGGTTCCCGTTTCTCCACATCCTCGCCAGCATCTATAGTCTCCTGATTTGTTCATTTTGGCCACTCTGACTGGCGTGAGGTGATATCTGAGTGTGGTTTTGATTTGTATTTCCCTGATGAGAAGCAACATTGAGCATTATTTATAGTAACTTTAAATCAGAGACTCTTACCAAGCTTAAATAATAGAAAATTATTACATCCATACACATCTTCTATAGAGTCCTTTCTTCTATAGAGTCAATTTAGCTTCCACCTTTTCCATCTCGTGTTACTAACATATTCCTGTGAGAGGCAGTTTTACAAATGGGGAAACTAAAGCATCTCAGAGAGGATCTGTGATTTTTTTTGACTTGACACATTGGCTGTGATAAAAGTAGGAAAATTCATGTATCTGTGGTGTATGTCATCACCCTTCTAGGTGCTGGGCTACAAATCAGTATGAATGAATCCCACTTGCGAAGGAACTCTTCGGGTCGGGATGGCAGATGAGTGAATGGTGATCGAGGTGCACTCAGTGCTCCAATGGGGTTGTCCTCAGGTCACCTTAGGAGCCGGGAGGCGGGGCAAGGATCTAGACGGACGGCCAGTGAAAGATTCCTGAAGAAGCTACGGCTTTAGCTGAGACTCGAAGGATGAGTAGGAGTCACAGGTACAGGAGAAGTGCAAAGTCAGGTATCCAGGAACTTCTAGTGCATTGTTGTTTCCACTGAACCCCCACTGCTACAGCCAAATCAGTTTGCAAAATACAGTTTTACCATATTCACGTACTAAATATGTCAGATGTCAGGTAGTCATTCCTTTTCATTTTACAGATGAAGAATCTCAAACCTCGAGAGTGAAGTGATACAGGGCTATCTGCCATTTCACTGTCCTTAGCTGCCTATGTCTGCTTTCTGCTTTTGCAACTCGAAAGATGCTCAGGAAACTAGAGCTCCTTCTCGTGGTATTGGTGTTGCCCTGAGGGTTGCTCTGAACTTCACACCACCCCTGTGTTGTTGTGCCTTTAGCAGTTTTACAACCAAAGATGAGCCGGGGAAGGCGGCACCTCATCTGCTGACTCCTGGGCTGATGGGAGAATCTTCCGGATCCTTCAGTGCCCCGGAGGATGAAGGCCAAAGGGAATACCAGGCCAATGACTCTGACTCCGATGGGCCTGTCTTGTACACTGATGATGACGATGATGAAGAGGATGAGGACGAGGATGGCAGTGGGGAAAGTAAGACTTGTGTTCAAGAGGTGGGGAGGAAAGTGAGCGATGGGCAGAAGCAGGTGCACTTTGTAAAGAACAAAAGCCATGGGCGATCAGACATCTGGTGTTTTCTTTCCCCCCATATTCTTTTCTCGTATTAGAAATGTCCGTGTTCTAAGGTTTAAAATTTTTTTTTTAATGTTTATTTATTTTTGAGACAGAGAGAGACAGAGCATGAATGGGGGAGGGTCAGAGAGAGGGAGACACAGAATCTGAAACAGGCTCCAGGCTCTGAGCTGGCAGCACAGAGCCCGACGCGGGGCTCGAACTCACGGACCGCGAGATCTTGACCTGAGCTGAAGTCAGACGCTTAACCGACTGAGCCACCCAGGCGCCCCTGGTGTTCTGAGGTTTAACTGCTGATGACAGGCCTTTCCAGATGAGGATTCCACGGGGGCCAGAGGATCAAGTCTTTGTCTATGAGGAAGATACGCACATTTGTATCTGTACAAGGAATCAAAGCTTTCTAATGACAGAGGCAGTTTCCAAATGATCAGAGATGGCCCTTCCACCCTGAGGTCTTTCTTGAATAGAGAGCATAAATTCAGGATTCACTGGATTACTTATTGGAGGTGTTTGAGACTTCCGGTCAGTTTTATACTAGGGTTTAAAGAGAGGGGAGGGAGGAATGAGTCAAGAATGACAAATGCCTTTGAAGAATTAAAAATAATCACTCTTCCACAGTAGATGAGATAGGATGCCTTCTAAGAAGGAATGCCAGTTACAGTAGATTAAGCCAACCATTCATATATAACTTCAGGAACTAGAAAGTGCTTTTTTGTTTTTGTTTTTTTTTAAACTTCTGAGCATCATGACTTAGGAGGAATTCACTATGGAATTGAATTTATACATGGTGGAAAGCTATTAATGATTGAACATCAATCAGTTTGTCAAGTTCCTTCTAGTTTGTACTAAACAACAATAGCAACAAAATCCTTGTCATCCACCTGGTATTAACTCTCCTCTGTTGAGACATTAGGGATTCTTCCTAATTAAGGATTAAGACACTGCTACCATCAGTAAACCATCTCCAGCGTGATTTCTGAGTGGAGGCAAGAAGACAAGACTTTACAGTGCAAATAAAGGAGCTAAGTTTTTAAGACTTAAAAAAGAAAGCATTACGCAATCAGTAATTTCCACGATACAACATCTCAGCAAAATAAACCTCAAATACCACTTTCCAAATGATGAGGTGACGCTTGCGAGTTTTTTCATGGTGCCCCAACATTTTTTTCAGAACATTTTTAAAAATAGTCCTTCAGTTTTCCAAAATGAACTACATCCAACTCAAAACTGGGTTTGGGTTTGTTTTTTTTTTTTCTTTTTCCTGAGGTTAATTAAAATTCCACTCTTGCATGTGGATAAAGAATTTCTTCTGGACTCTGTTTAAAGTCCACGCCATGTGTAACCTGAGTGCTGCTTGCTAAAAGCCTCTTTCTCTGCGTTTCTTCCTTCTCCAATCCTCAGGTGCTTTGGCAAGTAAAATACGACGAAGGGATACTCTTGCTATCAAACTTGGCAACAGACCATCTAAAAAGGAACTAGAAGACAAAAACATCTTGCAGCGCACATCTGAAGAGGAGAGGCAGGAAATCCGGCAGCAGATTGGAACCAAGCTCGTCAGGTAATGGCTGAAATCTTAGTACAGCACTGACCAATCCATACTTTTCTCCCCACTGCGGTTTCCTGCCCGACAGGGATCATTGTGAATTCCTTGGGTGAGGGCACGCATGGCCTATGTGGTTTTCTAAACTTGGTCCTGATGGTGAACCACTCAAAGAGCTTGCCCTTTGGTCCAACCAGTCAGTGGCTTTGGAGTCACCAAAGCCCAAGCCAAGAGTCAAAAAATGTTTGCAGTTAAGGACCAGTTAGTAAACGGTTCCGGTTTTGCTGGCCAGAAGGTCTCTGTTGCAGCCACTCAACTGTGCTGTTATAGCATGAAAGCAGCCATAAACAATACGTAGACAAATGGATGCAGCTGTGTTCCAATAAAACTTTATTCACCAAAACAGGCAGGGAGCTGGATTTGGCCTGCAGGTCATATTTTGCCCAACTCCTGGCCCAATCCACAGACTCTCTGGTGTTCCTGTGATTGCCATGAGGTTCTGCCCTGTGGGCCTTGAGATTGTAGAAATATTAGTTAGCTTCAGTGTCCAGCTCCATCAAAGCCAGGTAACTATAGCCCCTCCTATCAAAACCTCCCCCTTTTAACTTGAAATAAATGGTTATCTGGGGCGCCTGGGTGGCTCAGTCGGTTAAGTGTCCAGCTTCGGCTCAGGTCATGATCTCACGGATTGTGGGTTCGAGCATCACATCAGGCTCTGTGCTGACAACTCAGAGCCTGAACCTTGCTTCAGATTCTGTGCCTCCCTCTCTCTCTCTGCCCCTGCCCTGCTCATGTTCTCTCTCAAAAATAAAAACGTTAAAAAAAAATTTTTTTTTAAATGGTTGTCTGATTTTTCTTTCTGCCTCCAGCCATTGTAGGGTTTCTACTTTTGCTACCAGTGACTTTGGAAGTCCATTTAACTGGCAGCTTTTTTGTTTTTGTTTTGAGAGAGAAAGAGAGAGAGAGAGGGCACAAGTGAGCGAGGGGCAGAGAGAGAGAGAATCCCACAAGGGACAGAGAGAGAGAGGGAGGGAGAGAGAGAGAGAGAAGCAGAGCTCACCCAGAGCTCATGCTCACCCAAGACAGGGCTCATGTTCACCATACGTGGGGCGCAAGCTCACCCAAAGTGGGACTCGTGCTTACCCGATGTGGGACTAGAACTCATCAACTGTGCAATCATGACCTAAGCCGAAGTCAGATGCTTAATGACTGAGCCGCCCCCCGGGCGCCCTTAACTGGCAGCTTTAATAGAAGCGAGTGCCAAAGCCTTGTTTTCCATGATCACTTTAAGCATATTTAAGTATGAGCTATTTTGCTGACTTCTCTCACTCTGCGTCAGTTGGGAGAAGGGAGTAGTCTGAGATCCCAGGGCAGGATTTGGAGGTGGAAGAAATCCCTCTCCTTGCTTAGAAGTAGAAGACTTCTGTGACTGTGTCATACCTACAGGGCTGGCATGTGGGGGTTCTGAGGCTATTATCTGTTTGGCAGATGGGACCAAGCAGCGGCTTGGGGTGGATAAATGAGATGATACACTGAAGGCACTAGAGTGCCTGGATCGTAGCAAGCACTTAATAAAATTAAATATTTTTATTATTGATTTAAATAATTATATATATGTTAAACAGGTAAAACATTCTTAAAAATTAAACCCAAAAGCGGCAACTTTGTTCAGTATTTTTGAAGAACAACCTAACAGTGTGAAAGAAAAAAAAAGGAATTGTGTAGCAGTCTATTGTTTTATGTGGTAATTGTTTTACATGGTGAGGTCATTTGAGAGACTATACAAGAAGGAAATAATCCAGAAGAGAAAAAAAAAAAAAACCACCTATATATTTTACAAAGATGTTTATTTCAAGGCTGTTTATAGCAGTGACAACTAAAACAAACCAAATGCTCAAAAACAAGGCGCTGATGGAGAACCTTGTGAAGTAAGCAGAGAGCAGTGATTTTCCAACTGCCGCATCAAGGATTTCTTGGAGGGAACACTCTGGCTTCTATGGGGGGATCCAGGGCAGTGTGGGTGTGTTAGGGGTGGAACGGGAGGGACTCCTTCATCCCAGGCTTAACCATCCAACCAGAACAGCCTCTTCTATCTGTTTGATAAAAGGATCCTACCCCCACCCCTAAAAGTTTGAGAGCCTCTGAAAGTATGCACGTAGACCACATCCAGAAAATATTTTATCTGAGTAGTTTTAAATATGTAAATTTTGCAGAATTGTTTCTTTACAAATATCACACATCTGATCACTGCCGTTAAAGATAAATCACCCATAGTCCCTACCTTAGGGGACTCCGTGTGTCGTGGAAGAGACAGACTGACATACTCCTTGGTGAGGTTATGTGAAAAGCACCAACATCTAGGTCAAAAGAACTGGGTGTGAGACCTTGCTCTAACTTTCACTAGTACCTGATATTCAGCAAGTGACTTAATCTGTTACTTCCTCATTTGTAAAATGGGAACTGGCTACTCCCTTGCTGAGTTGTTTTGAGGATCCACGATAATGTAAGTTAAGCACCTAGCACAGCACCTGGGACTTTAAGAGTATGAACTAACAAGAGCTATGATTATCGTCTTACCTTTATTATTACTTGTGTGGTAAGTGCTCTAATAGATGTGTGATCTTTGTATGACTGCTGTATAGGGGCAGAGAATTCACAGGACAGGATAGGACAGGTCAAACACCCAACCGAAGGGTACTATTTTAGTCATTTGTATGATTTCTGTAGGTAGAGAAAGAGAGAAAGGTATTCCTGAGGGAGGAAACCCCATAAACAAAAGAAGGATGATGTCTTTGGTGGATGAGAGAGTGCAGATGTGTAACAGGGTACATGGCTGGTTGGCATGGTAGTTCACTGGGTTCTTTTGTAAGCTCAATTATGCAAGTTACTTCCAAGGTAGCTCTGATGAAAATTAAACTTTAACAAAATTTTTAATGAGGTCTTTAAAATAACATTGATTTCAGTTCCTCACGCCATTTCTGCCACAGCTGGAACATTTATAATTCATAGTATCTTTAAGTAAGATTACATCTCATATACATAGTTTAATTTGTGCAAACTCAACCTACATCCGGAAGAAGTTTTTTTTTTTTGTAATTAACAACAAATTAACACTGTAAACAAGACGAAGAAAAGGTATAAAGAGTCGTTAGGACATTCAGCTTTTGTTTACAAATAGGTAGCTACTAGTCACAAATGAGCCTGGCTTGGGGCACCTGGGTGGCTCAGTTGGTTAAACACCTGCTTCTTGATTTCCACTCAGATCATGATCTCAGGGTCATGAGATCGAGCCCCGAGTTGAGCTCCTTGCTGGGCATGGAGACCACTTAAGACTCTCTCTCTCCCTCTCCCTGTGCCCTTCGCCCGATTGCACGCACATGTATGCACTCGCTCCCTCTCTCAAAAAAAAATTTTTTTTTTAAATGAGTCTGCTTTTCTCAAAAGCAGGTGGGAAGGGTCCATATATCTTAAAATAACTCTACTGCATGTATTATAAATCCATTTGAGGTCACAAAAGCAGTATTTCGCGGGAATTACTACACTGTCCAGTGTGGATCAACCATCTTTTGAGTTAGTATGAACTCTTAAGCAGAAGACTTCTTTATATTCTAATGATCTGTATGTTAATTAGGAGATAGGCTAAGCTATTCTGTTAGAAACCAAAAAGTGCAGTGGTCCAAATAAGACACTTCCACACATTTATTTCCTTTCCACAGAACAGTCCAGAGGTAGGTGGACTCTCCAGGATGCGTGGGACTCCCCACCCACTCCTTATAGTTAGCTGGACACTCAGATTCTTTCTGTCCTATTGCTTTTCCATCCCCATGGATATTCTCATCTGCGTGATCCAAGCTGGCTCACATGACCACGTTTGAGTTCTAGCCCATGGAAGAAGGAAAGAAAGAAAAGGAAATACACAGTCATTTTAAGGGTAAAAAGCAGAAGTTACAGATACCACTCTGTTCATATCCCATTGCAAGGACTCAGTCGCAAAACCGCACCTTGCGGCTGGGGAGGCAGAAGTCTGTAGTTGGGGGACCACAGCCACAGCTCAGGAGGTTCTGTATCTAAAAGAGAGGAGGAAGAATGGATCAGGGGAGTAGGTAGCAGTCTCAGACAGTCTTTAGTCTCCAAACTAACAGAAAGGAGACTTTTATTTTGTAGGTGTAAAATGGATTTGTGTTTCCCCAAACAGGAAAAGAATAAAGCTTTCTTTGTTATTTTATTTCACATTTCGCATCAAGGAGGTCTTGTTTGTAACCTACAATATATCCTTTTTGTCATCATAGGAGACTTAGCCAGAGGCCCACAACTGAAGAATTAGAGCAAAGAAATATCCTAAAACGTGAGTATCTTATCTTATTTGGTGATTTCTCATGTAACCATTAACAAGCTCCCTTCAGAGATGATCCATTTATCAGTAGGAAACCTCCACGTTTATTCACGAATGATTAAAATGGCCCGTTTAGATCACATTTCTAGATAATTAAAAAAATGGGGTGCATGGATGGCTCAGTCAGTTAAGCACCCAATTCTTGATTTCCGCTCAGGTCATGATTTCACAGTTTGTGAGATCGAGCCCCATGTGGGGCTCCATGCTGATAGCCTGGAGCCTGCCTGGAATTCTCTTTCCCTCTCTCTTTGCCCCTTCCCTACTTGTGCGCTCTCTCTCTCTCTCTCTCTAGCTCTCTAAAAATAAATAAGTAGAATTAAAAAAATAATTTCTTGAAAGTTGTATTTCATTTTATGGCTTTGAGCCTGATATCCCCCAGACCAGAGTCATGGTTGTGACAGTTGTTTTTAAGAAAGATGAAATATATCCATGTATTCTTTTACCCAAATGTTACATAGAAGAAAATGCTCTAGTCTGCTTGCAAATAAATGTCAAAGAAAAAGCCAAAGAATCCCCAAGGAAATAAATCAAACATTCCTATATTATTATTAATAATACAGTTTGTTGCCAGGTTTAACAAATGACTCCATTTAAAACAGAATTATGGTAAAAGAAATTCTTGAGCCCTTTTCATTTTCCTTTGTTATGATAACTCTGTTTCCCTTTTGAGTTATTTATAATTTCTCAGGAGTTAAGGAGTTCTCCATTCATTTTCCTACTTCATTTTCCCTTTCTCTTTTCCCTTCTGTTTTCTTTGACTTTACTTCTTACTCACTAGTCCAGTAGAACTTCATTGGAGTTTGTATGTTAAAGCTATAAAACTAATAGAAGCACAGTTTGTCATTATATACTGTGTCCATGTGGTTACCAACCACAGTGACTTAAGTAATGGCTATTTTTAAGTTGAGCCTAGCTGCAGTTTTATATATTATTAACCCAGTTTCAGAAGAGCTTTTTATTGTATGAAATATAAAAACATCAGGGCTGGGCAGAGCTCCGGATAGTACTACAATAGCAATGAGCTGTGGGCATGCTGGACATCTTTTTCGATCAGGCTTTTAGAGGTAATTCTTGTCTGGATGATCCCCATTCTTCAATCTGAGTTGTTTTCTTTTCCTAAGGAATGAAAGAATTTTTTTAAGTTTATTTATTCATTCTGAGAGAGAAAGGGGCGGGGAGAGAAGTGAGGGAGACAGAATCCCAAGCAGGCCTCCACACCATCAGCACAAAGTCCAAAGCGGGGCTCAGACTCATGAACTTCAAGATCCTGACCTGAGCTGAGATCGAGTCAGATGCTTAACCGAGTGCGCCACACAGGTACCCCAGGAATGAAAGATTTTAATGATACGTTTATATTATACTTGCCATTACTAAGACAACTCAACAAAGAAGACTGAACAGTGAGAGGAACTGACAGTCTATGGGATTCTTTCCTTGGAATGCTTTTTTCTGGCTGTTTGTGAGCAAAACTGGAATAGAACCCAAAGAAGGGCTTAACGTGACCATCAGTATGTAGAAGAGCCAGTACACAGATGGAAAAAGTCATGGGTAGAAAAGCAAATAAAATTGTGTTTTAGTTTTCTGAGGAAGGATGAAAGCAACATTTAATTTTGACAACACAAAACCAAAAAAGCTCATGGCTTTTGATAGTAGGTCCCTGGAAAATATTTCTTGAACTAAATTTTAGATAAGCTCAAGAGCAGACTGTAAGCTCCTAAAACACAAAGATTATGTCTCATTGGATGCCTGATGCAATACCTGGGGTGGGGGGGGGGGGGGG